TAATAATATAGCATATGAAGCGCAAAATAAAAATCCAGACATAATTTCATAAAACAAATAAACATATTTTTACTTTTTTCGGTGAAATAACTTTAGGATTTTTTGGAATGTGCTTTATATATTAAACTATTAGACAAATTTCCCACCATTAAAGATGATATTCACCAAAGAGCGGATGAAACACCTCGAAAATTGTGCCATCGGCAACACCTGGCAAGTATCAGGAAGCAAAGGAGTCCGAAGTTAAGATTCGACAAGGCAGCCGAAGAGGAACGATAAGGCAAAGAGAGATGGAAGTAAAGAAGCTACTTGCATTATAACCACCGAGAAAACGCCAATCAAACGACGGTGGAACAAGTCAATCACAGAGTTCGGTGGAACAAAATTTAGTTGAGTTGGAAGACCTGTCAAACAGATAGAAATCTTCAACAGACATATCATAATACCCGAGAGAGTGAAAATAAAAGGCATGAACTATATGCAATGCTGTAATTTCTCGTGAAATGAGAAGTGTAAAATTTCAGGATCAGTTCAGACTCTGATTGACAGATGCACAACTTTTCAACATGAAATCATCAATGAAAAAATGAAAAACTTTTTTCCTTGTGTTTTAGTATACCTTTATTTGTGTTTAGAATTTCAAATTATAATATGTGTATAATATATATAAATATGTATATATATATATATATATATTTATATATATATATATATATATATATATATATATATATATATATATATATATACACACATACACACACACATGTGCACACACACAAACACACACATATCTAATATATATATATATATATATATATATATATATATATATATATATATATATGTATATGTATGTATATATATATATAAATGTATATATATACATATATTATACATACATATATGTGTATATATATATATATATATATATATATATATATATATATATGCAGACACACACACACACACACACGCGCGCGCGCACGCGCGCACTCACGCACACACGCACTCACACACACACACACACACACACACACACATATACATACACATACACACATACACACACTCCCAAACAACACGCACACACACAACACACACACACAAATGCACACACATACATACATGCATACACACACACACACATACACACACACATATATACATACACACACACACTCACCTACACACACACACACACACATTTACAAATATATTTCTTTTTTTTTCTTTTGTATACGTATATCTATATATTGTAAAGGTTTTGTGAGCCAGCGGTACCCGATAGCCGGTTTAGGGCCAGAACTGGGTCTCTCGGTTAAAAGAATACACAGCTAGTATAACACCAGCGATGATATTAATAAAAATGATGAATTATGATGAAGCACAGAAATAACAAATAATAAAAGAGTATACATACTTTTGCAGATCAGGATATCAGGTTAATTAGTGTTAAATAAAGTCATTATAGATATCATTCTTATGCAGACAGTAATCAAATACGTCCCAGCTCCTAAATGTGGCAAGTAAAACATATGTAAAGGCTCATTCACAACCTTTTTAGCATTTTCCATAACCACACCAATGGTCCAGCTGACACTTTTTATTTCGTAAACGGCGGGGTTTGAACTCCACACAGGGAATACAATTTGAAATCTGGTCTCATATTATGTTAAATATTTCTAAGTAAAATTACTACTTAAGCTAGAAAAAAAATGTATGAAAGAAATCTCATTATGTAAAATAGAACAGCTAACCACATCAAATCATAAATAATAGTAAAATAATATTCAATAAAAGGAAAAGGTGCACGTACCAAGCTAGACCTTTAAGATATAAAATAAAAGTAAAAGTAAATCAAAAGTCTCGGCCGAAGTGGGTATACAATCAAAAAATGAAATATAAAAAAGGCAGACATAAAAGTATGACAGGTGGCCAGCATAAATGCATAAATAACATACGTGGCAAAAAGCTGCACCTTCAGGCTAAGAGAACGTCTAAAAATGTAAACAAAGAGTTACCTGCTAGTAATTAAAACATGGAAATAAAAAAGATTCAATAAAAGTAGTTCCGTAAAAGTTATGCAGCTGACAATCTACATAAAATAAATAAAAAAAGAAGTGACATGAAATAAAAAAGTGCGTAGGATATGGACTGTGTCACGTAATGTAAGACAGTGCAGGTCTCATAAGTAAAATAAAAAGAACAAACGATTAAATGAATGTAATAAAATAAATCAAGTCCTATAACACCAACGGCAAGTACATTTAAGGCATACTTGTTCTAATAACCATAACATGAACCATTCGAGTATGTATGTTTATGCATGTCTGTATGTGTGTGTAGGGCCAGACGGCAGTGGTCGATCCTGTAGGAAAAGAGCAAGGAAAGGGAAGGAATTAGGAAACTTGAACGAGGAGTGTAAGGAAGACCTCAGGCATGTGAGAATTAGGGGGTGAGGGTACGTGACAGACGGGGAGAGGAGCCGTGAGAGACG